TTACATTTTATCATCTTGACCTCCTGCCTCTAAAGTACACGGCTCATTATTGTGCAATTTAATGGTTTTTTTTTTCTCTTCTTCCTCTACCCCTTTTTTCACCTAACAACATCTGTAAAGCACTTCACAAAGCAGCTTCATCCATATCATCTTCTCCAAGCTATACTGTGCCCCTCTATCAATTTCCAATAAATATTTGCTAGGTCAAAAGGGGAAGGCATTACAGGTAAAAGAACGAACACCAGCAAATGATCTGCGCATGTGCAGAGGCAGGGGATGGGGTAAAGACAGGATGAGGACTTCCATGCAAGCACAAGGAGAATAAACACTAGACATTTTGGACAAAGTTAACAAAAAAAAAAAAAAAAAACAAAGACAAAATCCACTCCAGTCATATGTTTAGTATATTCGAGTCTATTCATCTCTGGCCCTTCTAGAAACTTTTGTTTTTTAGCTGTAGTAAGTCACCATAAAGTTCTGTGTCCTACTTTTGATCACTTAACATTCAGAGCACTCTTCCCTAGTGCAGCATAGTCTTCATAACCCGCATTTGTGGTGGATGCATAATATCCCAGAGTGGTTGTGTTCTAATTTGCTTGCCCATTGCTCTACTGTTGGACACATGTTGTTTCTCAGTTTCTATTATTACAAGCACCAGGACAAACCTGTTGTGCAGAGAGAAGTGGAAAGAAATTGGAGCTTTGGCAAGACCTTCAGTTGCTTGATGCGACTCACCTGATCTTCCAGTGACTCTAGACTTTTCTTTTGCCTTTGGCCAGCAGCAGTGGCCCTGTATTGCTTCAGCCAATCAGTTACATTAACCCACTAACACAAGACAGATTTCCAAAGGCTGGACTAGACTTGGCCTGTTCACTGTTACAACCCCACTGGATGCCTCACAGGTGCCCTTCTCTGAGGGAAGACACTTAATAACTATGTGCAGGGGGGAAAAATGACCTCTCTCTTCTAACTATTCTCTTGTCCTGACCACTGATTTAGCGAGATCTTACATTTTCTATCGATTGGTTTTGAGCTCATCCATTAATGTTGCCTCTTCAGCAGCATCGCCACTGGTAATTCCTCATTCCTTCATGAAAACTCAAACTCACATTTTCATGAGTTAAAATATTTCCCTTCATAACCTTTAATATTACAGCTGAGGGATGTAGTTCAAGGGTTCAATCCTTAACACTAGTGGGAAAAATCATTTTCAATGTCTCTCCGTTCAGATTTGAGTCCATTTCTTTTCTCTGGCACCAGGGTTGAACTGGGGGGGTCTTATGCTCTATCACTTGAACCAGGTCTCCAATCCAGCTTTTTGTTGGTTATTTTGGAGATAGTATCTGTTTGACTTTTCTGCTCAGACTGGCTTTGGACTATGATCCTCTGGATCTTAGCCTTTTGAGTAGGATTAACAGGTAAACCACTGGCATCTGGCTTGATTGAATTTTCTTCTAGCTTTTCTACATTTAATTTGTAATATTTAATTTACCTAGAATTTATTTAGTTATACTGTTTAGAGTACTCCCCAACTTGAATACATAATAATTTTAACATCTAGTAATTATATGTACATTGTACCTCTGCATGGGCTTTAATATGCTGTTTCAACACAGTATCAATTGTGTACAATGTACAACAATCAAATCAGGGTTGTTGGCATATCTTTTTTCCTATTTTTTTTGTACTGGAGATGAACTCAGAGTCTTGTGCATGCTAGGCAAGCTGTGAAACATTAAGGCAGCAACAAACGATATAACTGAAATAGAGAGAGGAGCCTGGCCTAATGGCTCATGCTTATAATCCTAGCTACTCAGAGGCTATGATCTAAGGATTGCAGTTCAAAGCTAGCTCAAGAAGGAAAGTCCATGAGATTCTTCTATCCAGTGAACTACCAAAAAGCCAGAAGTATAGCTGTGGCTCAAGTGGTCGAGCACTAGCCTTGAGCAAAAAGCTCTGGAACATCATACAAGAGAGAGGGGTGGGGGGAAAGAAGGAAGGAAGGAAGTCATAGCCTGTTGAAAACAGCTAATCTGAAGGGCTTTGAGAGACTATAAACCAGGAAAGGAGAGGGTTACAGTGTAGACAGGACTCAGATCTCCTAGAACTTGAGATTACAATATAGCCCAGAAGTCTGTTTTATTTATTTATTTTTGGGTCCGGTTGTGGGGCTTGAACTCTGGGCCTGGGCGCTGTCCCTCAGCTCTTCAGCTCAAGGCTAGCGCTCTACCACTTGAGCCACAGTGCCACTTCCGGCTTTTTTCTTTTTGCTTATGTGGTGCTGAGGAATCGAACCCAGGGCCTCAGGCATGCAAGGCAAGCGCTTTACCACTGAGCCAACTTCCCAGCCCTGGACCTTGATATTTGAATCTCAGCCTCCCAGGATCTAGGATTATAGATGTGAGCTGTTAGATTATTTTAGACTTTGACAGAAAATCATGCAGACATCCAGGTACAGAGAACAAAGAAAGGTTCATTGCCAGGAAAGGGGCCGGCAAGACCCCTTGTCACAAGGGAGAAGTGAGAAGAAGCACCGGCTATTGTCTGAGGTGACCTATATAACCTAGGAGGTTTAGGAGGGGCTAGAAGTGGTAAACATAGCAAAAGAAGACCAGGCCAGGCGCTGGTGGCTCACACCTGTAATCCTAGCTACTCAGGAGGCTGAGATCTGAGGGTCACGGTTCAAAGCCAGACTGGGCAGGAAAGTCCAGGAGACTCTTTTTGTTTTGGTTGTGGCTTTTTATTTGTTTTTTGTTTTGTTTTTGTCGGTTGTGGGGCCTGAACTCTGGGCCTGGGGAGCTGTCCCTCAGCTCTTCAGCTCAAGGCTAGCGCTCTACCACTTGAGCCACAGTACTACTTCCGGTTTTCTGAATGGTTTATTGGAGATAAGAGTCTCATAGACTTTTCCTGCCCAGGCTAGCTTTGAACTGCCATCCTTAGATCTCAGCCCCCTAGGTATCTAGGATACAGGTATGAGCCACTGGCGCCCAGCTAAAAATTAGTTTTTAAACACTTCAAAGTACCATGTCACTGACAACCAAGCGGTTGGTGGGAAGAATGCTTCCACAGCTACTTTGCCCACATTGGGGCTGATGCTCCAGGTTTATAGGAGGTTGTCAATGATGGCTACATGTCTGGGCAGCTCTTAACGCCCAGCTCAGAGAAAGAGGCCCTCATGGCAAAGGTCCCGCAAAGGTAGAGCAACACACAGGAGATAGCTTTAAGAATCACAAACGCAGGTAATACAAAGACCACTGAAGTCAGAAGCAGCTCGCTCATCCCCCTTCTCAGGTCCTGAGAGTTTCCCTTTCTCCACACAATCTCCATCTAGAACTGGAAACATTACCAAGACATCTAATAGCTTCCTCCAACTACTATCTCCTCTGGTTCATCTTCCTTATCCTCTGTGCCAAGGCCCTATTTCTTTTGGCAGTGGTATGCCTAAGCATGGCAATAAAACACCAGAAGCACTTTTGTTTTTCAAGGAACTCATTTGTGTGCATGTGTATGTTAAGTGTGATTGAGACTTGAACTCCAGGCCAGGGTGCTATCCCTTAGCATCCTCCTCCTCCCCCTAAGGCTAGCACTGGAGCCATAGCCTCACTTCCAGCTGTTTGAGGGTTAACTGGAGATAAGAGTCGCTCAGACTTTTCCTGCCCAGGCTGGCTTTGAACTACAAATCCTCAGATCTCAGCTTCCTGATTAGCTAGGATTACAGGCATGAGTCACTTGCCTGGCTTGTCTGAGGGATTTCTTAAAGCCCCATTTCTAGTCTCTAGAACATTTCACTTCGTTATCTCCAACTGAAATCTCCACCCCTTCCCCCAGAGCCCGAGAGGCCCAACTGGATAGCCTTCCTTTCCTGGGGGCAGCACACTCATTCCTGCTTCTTCAGCCAGCCCCGCCCTGCTTCCACCCTATTCATATTCCAAGACAAGCACAGTCTAGATAGACTTGTGCCAAGCAAGACTGCCAGGGGAAGAAGAGAACTCAGGGTGTCAGAAAACAAATCTGGGTCTTCAAAATGTATTTTGAAGCTTACAGTGTGAATTAGCTGAGGAGCAAGAGATAGGAAAAGTAATCAGAGAAAGGGGGGTGGGGGAACACACTCTGAATTGAAGCACAAAAGGGAACTAGAATCAGAGCCAGAGATTGGGAGGGTTGTTTCCGGTTTCTTTAGCCCCAGACAAGATGGGTGTAAATTCAGCTATGTCCCAGTTTGGCTCTGCAGTCAACCAGCTTTTTGGCAGAAAGAAAAAAAAAATCATTGAATTAATTGAATGATACTCAGATAGCTACAAACTGAACCTTCAAACAGCTGTAGTCAGCATTTCCAGAGTGTTTTTCATTTCTGCAAAGGAGGTAAGTTGCTCACCTAGCTCCAGTTCTGATTGGCGCATCTCCATGCAATCTCAGGACCTCTACTTCTTGATCACCTCTTCTCTAAATGAGGAGGACACTGAGTGGCTGAGCTTAGGGATTGTGCTAGGCCCCTGTCCTAGATAGGGTCCAAGCTAAGGTTAAGGGGCCATGTTCTACAATGGGGACTCAGATCATGGAACTGGACTGCTTCTAACTCTTGTAAATGCCACAGCATCCTCATGCCATAGCATCTGGGACCTCAGGATCACATCATTCATATGTTGCCAGGAGAATGCCTACCTTCAAGAGACACTAAATTATGAGCTGGAGCCAGTGGCTCATGCCTGTATACTCAGGAGGCTGAGATCTGGAGGATCTGAGGCCAACACAGACAGAAAAGTTTGTTAGATTCCATCCCCAAAATATCCAGCAAAAGGCAAGGCTGAAGGCATGGTCAAGTGGTAGAGTACTGCCAGGAAGGCACAAAGCCCTGAGTTCAAAACTCAGTGTGTGCGTGTGTGTGTGAAAGAGAGAGAGAGAGAGAAAGAGAGAGAGAGATTAAATTATGTTCTTTTATCCTCCCCAGAAGTGAAGAAGTGAAACATAATCAGGCCAAGAAGTCAAAGAGACACATTAACATAATTTATTAAATTCACCACACAAAGACTACATTACAGAAAACAAACCTTAAGAACTGGGACAGGGAGATCATTGGTCCCACCCCCTCATTTTAAAATGAGACATCTGTTTGATGTCCCAAAACGCTAATATAGATAAGGCCAGCATGGGAATCCAGTCTACACACACACACACACACACACACACACACTCTCTCTCTCTCTCTCTCTCTCTTAAGGCTTTAATTCTTGACATAAGCCCAAGTAGAGTCAAAGACTAAATCCCTACTTATTTTAAAATTTTCTGTTTCCTATAGTATCACACTCTGATGCTTGTCTTCTTCTTAAGGCTGCAGAAAAGTCCTGAAGAAAAGATGACAAACTGCAAGGTCATTCAGAGTTAGGATAAAGACCAACCATGGAGTACAGGGGTTCAGAGAGCTTAGGGAAAGCACCCCTCCATCCAGAAGAGTCTTGATCACTGTTCCCTCTGCATGCATTCAGTCCCCAATGCCACAGGGGAAGATGCTTGCCTTCCTGAGGCACAGATCCTCTCTGGAGGAGGAAGAACAGGTAGGGGAAGGAAAGGCAGAGGAAGATTCATCACCACAGTATTCTGAAATAACACCACCAATGAGAACACGTTCTCAGTTTCATATAAGCCCAAATCTCTCAAGAGAAGGCTATAAAACTTTGGTATTAAATCAATTATGAGATGTAAGCAAAACCACCAATAACTTAGCAAAATAAATAGGATGATGGCTTTTCTGGGAGAGATGCAACTCTGTGAAAAGAGTTTTTAGGCTCTGCATCAGGAAGACTAAGATGTGTCTTTTGGTGTGTACTATAATAGGGGAAAACCCTAAGAGATTTTGGAGGTTTCACAGCAGAGAGAAATCACACTTATCTGTCCATGGCCTAGAAAATCTTCCTGCTCAAAACTCCTCCCTGATTGTACATTTCCTTGTCTGCAGAAAGACAAGGTTGTCCATTCTAAGTTTAGGCTCCCTGACTGACTGGGCCTGGACAGGTTGCCCTCCTCTGTCAGTAGGAGGCCTACGTCAGCATGGGCTGAGGGTGGAGCAAGCAGATAAACAGTTTGTTGCTAAGAACTAAGCTGTGTTCACAGAAGGAACTTCATCCCTCTAGGATACACTCCAATCACTCTGGACTTTTGTGCTTCCAGCTTTTTGGGCTCAGACCAATCTTGTCATCTTGGCTGAACCCAAGGAAGAACTGGCTTCTAGGACAGCTGGACTCCAAAGTCCAACAGAGGGGAGGCTCTGCTACAGGGGAAATAAAATAGGGAATAGGACACTGCGTGGTCCCTTCTGTCAGGATAACATCGTTCAAAGGGCTGTGGTGACCAGAGGAGGCACTCACAAGCCATCTGCCCAGCAATCAGGACAGGAAGGAACTTAGGACTGGTGGCACATGTGAGCCTCAAGGCCTGGGTGCAGCCAGGAAATAATCAGGAACTCAGAGTCCGTGTTAAAAGCCTGCAGGGGTGGTGGACTTCTCCCAGGCGAGAGGCAGCTTCAATGGTCACGTCCATCTCCTCCCAGCTCAGGTTTCCACCACTCGGATAAGAGGCATGGGCTTAGAGCTGGGCGGCTTCGATATCCTAACACTGGAAAGAAAGTTAGAAACACTGAGTGTTCTGTTACTGCCCACCATTCACAAAGCTGCTCCTCCCATTTTTTTTTTTTTGTTTGTTTGGGGCGGTGGGGAGGTCAGTCATGGGGCTTGAACTCATGGCCTGGGCTCTTGTCTCTGAGCTTTTTTGCTCAAGGCCAGCACTCTACCACTTTGAGCCACAGCACTACTTCCGGTTTGGGGGAGATAAGAGTCTCGTGGATTTTCCTGCCCAGGATGGCTTTGAACTGTGATCCCCAGAACTCAGCCTTCTGAGTAGGTAGAATTACAGGTGTGAGCCACCGGCATCTAGCCTCTCCTCCACATTTGCCTCTGGAATCCTACACATTTTAGTTGGCTGATCACCCAAGCTCTAAGTGTTTTGAAACAGTAATTTTCAGAAACATCAAAAAGATTTGGAGCATAATACATTTATCTGGTGGCAGGGATGATAAAGGGAAAGGCAGTTAAACAAATAAAGTGGGTATAGATGTGATAGTTGATTTTTTTTTCTTTTTCAAGATTTGGGGCCCTTTTGTGAATTTCATGGAAGCCAAACAACCTCTCAAGAATATGCAAATATTATACATACACAGATGCAATATGAAAAAAATGACAAATAATTTTGCTTACAATTTTAGCACATACCTATGGACGCCATTCATAGTCCTCTTTGGTTCATAGTATGAGGCCCCACACTAAATAACTTAGAATATGGTTCTAGTGTAGAATTGCCTCGATCAGAGACTAAGAGGAAAACTGATTTTTTTTTTCTTCTTTTTTTTTCTTTCCAGGGCTGAGGACCGAACCCAGGGCCTTGCGCGTGCTGGGCGGGCGCCCTTCCTCTGGGGCTAAACCCCCAGCCCCGGAAACTTGATTTTAAAGAGCTTGTCCTTGCCTTGGCACTGAATGTGTTGCATGGATCTTTTCTTCTTCCCTTCCTTTCCTGCCCAGGCCCATTCTGTACATATATACTCACCTGCCCAGGTTCTCTGTTTTGGCACGGGTCTGGGTGCTAAAGTTGCTATGACTGATCTGTTTCTCTATGAGGTGTTCCATGCGATCGTGCATCTCTAAATTCTGTAACAGAAGGTGGAGGTTACGATGGGCCTTTCTTTTCTTTTTTTTTTTTGCCAGTCATGGGGCCTGAACTCTGGGTCTGGGCGTTGTCCTTCAGCTCTTCAGCTCAAGGCTAGTGCTCTACCACTGGAGCCACAGCACCACTTCCGGCTTTTTCTGTTTATGTGGTGCTGAGGAATCGAACCCAGGGCCTCATGTTTGCAAGGCAAGCACTCTACCACTGAGCCACCTTCCCAGCCCATACGATGGGCCTTTCTATGGTTTTTCATGGGTTACATTTAGGGAGCTCCTCTGGTCTCTCCACCTCCGTATTTGTATTGTTATCGTCCCTACTTCTACATGCTACCACTGGGAGTCCCCTCCTTTCACCTTCAGCATTACAGAATGCTCTCTTCTCTGATACTTGCTCAATAATCCTGTAATGCTGACCATTTCCTGTATCTGCTCATTATATGTTCCCTGTAAATAGTTCCTGTCATAAGTTGACGTATTCACTTGCCTTTCCAATAAGCTATCTTATTTTAGTGAAGTATTATCAGCATTTTTGTGGGGGGGGGTTCTGGGGTTCAAGTTGGGGCCTGGGCATTGTCCCTGAGCTTCTTTTGCTCAAGGCTAGCACTCTACCACTTGAGCCACAGCACCGCTTCCGGCTTTTTCTATTTATGTGTTACTGATGAACTCTGGGCTTCATGCATGTTAGGCAAGCACTCTACCACTAAGTCACCTTCCAGCCCTATTAGCAGCTTTCTTTTCTTTTTTTTTTCAGTTGTGGGGCTTAAACTCTGGGCCTAGGTGCTGACTCTGAGCTCTTCAGCTCAAGGCAAGTACTCTACCACTTGAGCCACAGCGCCACTTCCAGTTTTCTGGTGGTTAATTGGAGGTAAGAGTGTCATGGACTTTCCTGTCTGGGCTGGCTTTGAACCATGATCCTCAGATCACAGCCTCCGGAGTAGCTAGGATTGCAGGAATGAGCCACCAGTGCCTGGCTATTAGCAGCTTTTTTTTAAAAAAAGTATATTCCATTTCTAACTCTTGCCTTCAAAGTCTAAAAGTAAACTTTTATAGCTGGACACATGCAGCACACCTCTCACATGGTGACAAGAAGATGCTCACCTTTTTTTTTTTTGTCAGTCATGGGGCCTGAACTCTGAGGCTGGGCACTGTCCCTCAGCTCTTCAGCTCAAAGCTACCACTCTACCACTTGAGCCATAGCACCATTTCCAGCTTTTTCTGCTTATGTGGTGCTAAGTAATAGAACCCAGGGCCTCATGGATGCAAAGGATGTCCACCTTTAAGAGACACTAAATTTCCAGGAGCTGGTAGCTCATGCCTGTAATCCTAGTTACTCAGGAGGCTGAAATCTGAGGATCACAGTTTAAAGTCAGCCAGGGCTGCAAAGTCATTGAGACTCTTATCTCCAATTAACCACCAGAAAACTAGAAGTGGCACTGTGGCTCAAGTGGTAGACCTCGCTTGCCTTGAGCTGAAGAGCTCAGGTCCAGGGTTCAAGCCCCACAACCAACCCCCTCCCCCCAAAAAAAGAGAGACACTAAATTATAGCCACTGGTGGTTCATGCCTGTAATCCTAGTTATTCAGATGTCTGTGATCTGGAGGGCTGTGGTTTGAGGCCAGCCCAGACAGAAAAGTCTGTTATACTTGATTTCTAAAATAACCAGCAAGGGCTGGAGATGTGGCACTATTAGTAAAGCAACAGCCAAACAAGCAAGCCAACCAAATGTAAGGCATGAACTCAAATCCCAGTGTCACACACACACACACACACACACACACACACACAGAATCCTGGGGGCTGGGAATGTGGCTCAGTGTAGAGTACCTGCCTAGCATGAAGCCCTGGGTTTGATTCCTCAGTTCCACATAAACAGAAAATGCTGGAAGTGGTCCTGTGGCTCAAGTGGTAGAGGGCTAGCCTTGAGCACAGAGAGGCTAAGGGACAGAACCCAGGCCCCGAGTTCAAGCCTTAGGACCAGCAAAAAAAACAAAGAATCCTGGTTTTCAGTTGTCTTCCCTTCTACAGGGATCTTTACACAGTGGCTGGCAAAGTTATCTTCAGGTAGTCAACACACTCCAGGAGAAGCTCTTTAGCAAACCAGAAATTAGACTAGGAGGACAACTCAGTAGCTAATTGAGCCCAACATTGTAGCTATGGAAAAGACTCCAATTACAGAATGCCTCCTCTTCCTTCAAAGCCAGGCTTCTCTGCTCACTCACTGCAAAGGCCACATGGTCAGAATTTGCTTTGGCAAGAGGCTTATATCATATTGCTATGTTTCTTGAGAGCAGGCCTTAATCACTATAAACAACCTCCTGAAGATTCTCAGAAAATGTTTGCTCAACTAAACTGACCACATAGCAATCATCCCAGATACTCTCTTCTGAACATCAGTTGGATGGGAACAAGATCCCCTCCATACTTGTCCCTCCTTGGCCAGGCTTCTCAAGAGTGCTGTTTCCTACTGGGGCTGCCCAGGATACAAACCTCTGCCTCCAGGTAGGCAACCTTTTCCTTGAGTTCCTGGATGATGGCATCCTTTGATTGGATCACAGCTTTTGAATTCTGGAGCTGCAAAGATGTAGGCGATTAATTAGGGTTCATTTTCCAGTGATTTGCTACATACTCACCAAACTTCACCCCAGCTGCTGGACAAGCCAGCAAAGGTGAAAAGCAAAGCTCTGCAACTATCACGTGACTTCATTACATTTCTTTCTTTCTTTCTTTTTTGTTGGTTGTGGGGCTTGAACTCTGGGCCTGGGCAGTGTCCCTGTGCTCTTCAGCTCAAGGTGAGCACTCTACCACTTGAGCCACAGCACCACTTCCCATTTTCTAGTGGTTTATTGGAAATAAGAGTCTCACCGATGTTCCTGCCCGGGGTTGGCTTTGAACCATGATCCTTAGATCTTAGCCTCCTGAGTAGCTAGGATTACAAGCGTGAGCCACTGGTGCCTGGCAATGTTAAATTCTTAATTATACAGGAGGTGGGAGAAGAGGTGGAGTGAGAGGAGAATAACACCCTCATTCTCCAAAATACAAAATGGATGATTCAAACTCATTGCAATTTGGCTATAGAAAACAAGTCATTCATTCAGTAAATATTTCTGGAGTGCTACCATATTATAGTCCTTGTTCTAGACAATGGAAATGGCAGTAAATGAAGCAGATACAAATGGAACTGACATGAAGGAAATGTGCCCTCCCAGTTTGGGGTTCTAAGTTCGCAAAACAATTTTGCAACTCAGCATACATCCTGAATGTTGTACTCTAATAAAGCTCAAGCAAGATAACTCAGGAGATCTACTAGGAGGCACAAAAACATAGGACATGGGGCTTGAACTCAGGGTTTGGGTGCTATCCCTGAGCTTTTTCCGCCCAAGGCTAATGCTCTACCACTTTAAGCTACAGGTTTTCTTTCCCTTTAAGCCACTTCAGGTTTGCTAGTGGTTAACTGGAGGTAAGAGTCACATGGACTTTCCTGCCTGGGCTGGCTAGGAACTGTGATCCTTAGATCTCAGCCTCCTAAGTAGCTAGGATTACAGGTGTGAGCCAAGGGGGGCGGGGGAGCAGGGTGCAGGGGAACTTCATTATTCATTTTATCAGCACTTTCTTCAGAGTATAAGGGAGAATTAATTCTTCATTTCCAATCAGAAAGCAAAGGCCAAATGACCCCCAAACTCCTAGTAACTCAAACCCTAATAATGGGTTGCTATAAATGCCTTATGAGAACACACAAGCATAAGCCAAACTGCCTAGGAGAATATATAAACAAAGACACAGCCTTAGGTTAATAACCCAGGGCAGGTTAAGACCTGACACTGTTTACCTGCTCTATCATTTGCCGGACTTTGCGCTGTTGGCTCTTGAGCATGTCATCCAAGTGATGAATCTTCTCCCGCAAGCCAGCCACTTCTTTTTCCAGGGTAGCAGCCCTAGGGATAAAGACCACAAGGCTGAAGATCAAGGGAAAAAGATGTCCTCTCTATTCATTAATAGAAAGAGCCTTTTGCTTAGAAAGTTCCTACCCAGGGTGATTCCCCTGGCCTGCTTCCCCCGCACTGTGCCCTGAGGAACAGATAGTGGAATACATTTTTAGCTCTCACACCTCGGAAGTACCTTGGAAGTATCTTCAGACATCATTAAGTCCAGATGAAGAAGTATGGCTCAAGAAGGTTAGAAGGGATTAAGTCATTCTGGACATCTCTAGAGGCTAAAATTAGAACCCACAGGCCCCAGGAAAGCAATTTTTATATTAACACAAGAAAAGCTCTCCATACTAAAGCTGTGAGGAAGTTAACTGCCTCCTGATCATTCAAGTAGGAAGTGGTATTACTATATCACTCACTATCAAGCTTGTGGGCAGGGATTTTCTAGCAGTGGAGAGATAAGACTTGAAGATCCTTAAAGCTGCTGCTCCACACAACTGTTTCTAAGGCTCCTGATCCTAAACCTTTGCTGCTTCCTTCATATTCTTTTTTCTTTTGGCCAGTCCTGGGGTTTAAACTCATAGCCTGGGCAGTGTCTCAGAGCTTTTTCGCTCAAGGCTAGCAGTCTACCACTTGAACCACAGCACTACTTCTGGCTTTTTCTGAGTAGTTTATTGGCCATGAGTTTTCTGCCCGGCTGGCTTCATACCAAGATCCTCAGATATTAGTCTCCTGATATCTGAGGATTTATAGGTGTGAGCCACCAATGCCATGATTGCTTCTTTTACGTTCTAAGCACATTGAGCTATGAAGTGCAATAAGAAATATATTCTTAGCCGGCACTGCTGGTGGTTCACACTTTTTTTTTTTGGTCAGTCGTGGGCACTGAACTCTGGGCCTCGGCACTGTCCCTCAGCTCTTTAGCTCAAGGCTAGTGCCCTACCACTTGAGCCACAGCACTACTTCCAGCTTTTTCTGCTTATGTGGTGCTGAGGAATCGAACCCAGGGCCTTATGCATGTGAGGCAAGCGCTCTACCACTGAGCCACCTTCCCAGCTCTGGTGGCTCACAATTGTGATACTCACTACTCAGAAGGCTGAGATCTGAGGATTGAGTCAAAGCCAGCCTGGGCAGGAAAGTCTCTTATCGCCAATAAACTATGCAGAAAGAGCCAGAAGTGGCACTGTAAGTGGTAGAGTACCAACCTTGAGCACAGAGCTCAGGGACAGAGCCTAGGCCCTGAGTTCAAGCCCCAGGATCTGAAAAAAAAAAATGTCTCTGACCAGTTTTTGACATGGAGTTCCTATCTCTAGGAATGATAAAGATTATCTTTTGTGTGCTATGGGTATAGCTAAAGTGGTAGAGGGCTTGCCTAGCAAGTGTGAGGCCCTAGATCAATCCCCAGTATTGCTTCTATATGTTAACAAGGTAACTGGTAGCTGGGGTCCTTAAATAGCTTTGGGTTGGGAGCTACTCATCAGAAAATTCAAAGTATGATATAAGGATTGGAGGTTTCAGTCATACTCCTACCTCTGGGGAGGAGTGAGGTGGTAGGGTGTTAAAGATTTAGCTCATTACCAATGGCAAACAATTTAATCAATCATGCCTACATAAGGGGACATCTAATAAAAAAAACTTACAAAGGGATTCAGAGAGTTTCCAGGTTAGTGAGTGCATCCATGTGCCAAAGCAGCAGCAACCTGGACTTCCAATGGACAGTACCCCTCTGGACTTCTCCCTACATACTGCTGCATTTCTCAGTTCACTTGAACCCTTTATAATATCTTTGATAATATGCCAGTAATATTGTTTCTTTTTTTTTAATTTAATTTTATTTTATTTGTGAACAAACTGTACAGAGGAGTTACAATTGCATGGGCAGGATAATGCGTACATTTCTTACCAAGCATTGCAGCCTCCTCCTTTGTTTACCCTTCCCATCCCTTCCCAGCCTCCCCCCTCCCCCCCATAGTAATATTGTTTCTTGAGTTTTAAAAGTCATTATAAAACTGGGCGCTGGTGGCTCACGCCTGTAATCCTAGCTACTCAGGAAGCTGAGATCTGAGGATCACGGTTCAAATCCAGCCTGGGCAGGAAAGGCCATGAGACTCTTATCTCCAATAAACCACCAGAAAACAGGAAGTGGTGCTGTGGCTCAAGTGGTAGAGCAGCGCTCACCTTGAGCTGAAGAGCTGAGGGGCTGCCTAAACTGAGTTCAAACCCCACAACCACCACCACCACCACCACCAAGTTACCAAACCTAAGGAGGCAGCACAGAGAACTCATTTATACCAGATGGTAGAAGAGTGTATTCCCTACAACTTACTATTTGTGACTGACAACTAAAGCAAGGGCTCTCTTACGGGACCTGAACCCTTAACCTATGGGGTCTACACTAACTCTGTAGTCTCTGAACAGAATTAAATTCTAGGACATCCATTAGGTGTCAGCAGAGAACTGCTTGTTGAGGGAAACCTACACATTTGGCTTTGGAGTGTTTTGAGTAGCAGAGCAGGACACTTGAGAGACCGTTCAGGGTCTTGGACCCACGGTATAAGGTTACTTCTGCAGTTCTGCTTTAGGAAGCTGACAAGTGCAAGCTGCCAGAGGGTAGGCAGTTCGCAAAGTGGAGAGAACGATGCAATCGGAGCAACCCACATCCTTCCTTAATGTGAACATTCTATGACTTCACCCATAGCCATCCAACGCCCTATTTCTTAGTCTCCTCCTATCTATAAAGTCAGTAGATGGGGGGCTGAGAAAGTAGCTCAGTGGTAGAGTGCTTGCCTT